CGATACCGATCTGTCGGGCGCCCATTTTTTTTTTCTTGGATTTTCTTCGGTCGTTGCGGGAAACTTGGAAACAATTGAACATTTAATTGTTGTCCGTTTTCGATAAGTTATTTTTAAAATCACAAGAACTGCAGTTACACTCTAATACTCAATATATGTTACTATTACTATGGGGTATGCGATTGATGTTCGCTCGAAGATAAGAGTCGTATATTGGCTAGACGCATGGGAAAACCAGGAAAATCAGACGGCCGCGGTACATGCGTTAAAATTATTATGTTTTTCTGCATTTTCTGATCAGCTTTGAGACCGCGAAGGGATTTTAAAATTAGTGCCAAGTTCGATTTATTGTCAACAATACACGAAACTGATGCGTCTTTCGTAGAATAGGAAATTCGGAAAGTACGTTTTTGTCATTGCCATTCGTTTCGTTTTCGTTTACGCAGAAATAGATTATAATTTATTAATATATTATTCGCCGAATTCGTTTTGTGAGAAAACTGTCTGGAAAATGCGACGCATGTTCTGTCTTGTATTATATTTTAATATATTATATTAATTATCTGCTACTCTGCTGTTCGGTTTTGCTCGGGCCCACTAGTCTGACACTCTGACATAGGCGCAACTAAACATAAAGTTTTGGTGGTGCTAAGACCGTACAAAACTTTGTATTGAGTTGATTCCTTTATTCATAATATTTTTAATAATAATAATCAATCACTCAAATTAAAAGATAATAAGTACCTAACTGTTAAGCAATTCTCATAAAGTCATATTGCCTTTAGTTGCAAAATATGTATTATCAGTTATACTTATTAGTATTATATTAGTTCTTTTTTAATATTTAATATAGTAATACATTTAAAGATCGGTTTTTATCATTTCGTATAATATTATAGCTCGTTAACATTTTGTTATTGGTTGAATAATATAAATTAATACAGCACTATAGTCACTATAGCGTAATTATTATTAATCAAGTTTTATTTGAAGGTGTTTTGTACCATTTAGTTATAATACTTTGTTGCGGCTTAAGTTGTCAACCTTTGGTGCTGATCATAAACAATTCAAAGTAAGTATTAAGTATTATAAATGTATTTATTTTAATTAAAAATATGTCGATACCTACATCAGCGGTTCTTAACCTTTTGTAGAACACTGACCAGTTTTTTGTCGAATATATTTTTTTTACAAAACATGAGATGTTATCATAACCAAAATTATAATAACTATATTTTATATTAAAAATTATAGAGGAATACATAACAAAATGTATATTGTAATAATGCATTCGCCATTCATGTCACATATTGACTGATGTTAGGTGTTAAGACTGCCGCGGACCCCCGACATGAGTATTGCGGACCCCCAGGGGGCCGCGGACCACAGGTTAAGAACCGCTGACCTACATCATGATAAATTTATACAGTGACTTACCGACCTACTTGGCTACTTACGTATATATGATGGCAGTGGCGTAATTAGGACATTTTTGGTTTGGGGGGGGGGCCCGATTTATGTTTTTAGCCAAATCTGTAAGCCTCATAAAGTTACCTATACCCACCAAATTTGAAATGTTGGCAGTAAAATACAAGTTTTGTCATGGGATCTTTCCTCACATCTCCCCTTAATTACACCCCTGGCGGTCAGTGAGTATACCCAACATCGAACGTGTCGATAAAGTATTTTACTATATTACTGCATAACATTATGCATATTGTTATTATTATACTGTCCGTTTTAATTATACTTTAAAGTTTCTGGGTTGAAAAATATGACCAAAGTCATAAATAATTCCCATATGGAATTGTTTTATGGAACCAATAAATTAAGACAATATGCTAATATGTACATAGACGGATTATTACGATTTTATCATAAAAACGCACAATATTATTCGGAGAACACGAACGTTACAAAGTCTCGACGAAGTTAAAATAATATTATTTTGAATATTATATTGTATGCTCATGTTTCATTTTCCGCCATTCCGTCGACATCGGCATAGGTTTTTAGTCGTCCGACGGCGACGGGAAAGTGTTGCCAACGTACGCAACGACCACTACGGGCGTACTGTCACCGCCGGAGCCGCCAGAACAATCGTCCGCGCTGCCGCCGCCGATGCCGCCGCTGTACGACTGGGCGCCGAATCGGGCCGCCACCTCGGCCAGGTGTCTGGCCGGCTCGACGTGCACGGCCAATTCGGCGGCCTCGACGGCACCGCTGTGCTTGCAGTGCGCCTCGGCCGCGGCCAGGTCGTAAGCGGCGCGCTTGGCGCCATCGTCTCGGCCGTCGCCCGCCGTGGCGGCGGACATCCACTGTTCCAGGTCCAAGCCGAACAGCGCGGAGTTGATGGCGCCGGGCTTGCGGGTTTTGCACGACTTGAACGCCGGCACAGCGTCCGTCAGGTGTTTGACGTCGCCCTCGGCTGCCGCGCCGCCGCCGTCCTTCCGTTGCCTGAGCAAAGCGGCGGTCAGCAGTCGGTCGGCGCGCTTTATAGGCGAGTTGCACAACGACGCTGAGTCGGTGCAGTAATCATGAGCGGCGGCCGGTGTCTCCTGCACCTCGACCGGCGACGGCGTCAGTAGACACTGACAATGGCCACGGTCCTTGTCCTGCAACAGTGGYCCGAACGCGTTTCCACCGATRTCGGTCGGACAGCACGCCTCGCCCCGCGAACAGAACATCCGGTCGTACAGTTCCGTCAGTGCCTTGTACTCGGCGTCCTCTTCCGGAATTTCCTCGCATTCGACCGACTCCTTACATGGACCGCACGACATGGCGTGGTTGATGTTATACGAGGTTTTCTGTGGCTATATAATAAAACAACCAATAATTAATTATTGTATATTATCGACGAACGGCGGGTKGGCTATCGATAGTACGACCAACGCGACAACAAGGTAACTAAATGCTGTGTCAATATTAATAATATGTGAGACCATCGTTATTCGTGTTTCCACGACTACCTCTATACTGCTATGAACCATGCAGCACGCCGTCGTGGTGACGGYTTATTGAAATTCACTTATGCAATATCTTATAATAGCAAGTATTTTAAAATGTAGCTCGTTTTCCTGTAAAGACGTATCGACGTTTTTGGACACGCAGTTTTCCAAGAGTAATATGTTCTTAATCCTAMGGAAAAAATAAATTGTAATATAGGTAATTCAAATCGAATTTCGAAGAGTTAATAATTATGTAACACGAAGAATTGGAAGCTATAGTATTAGTCTTAGAGGTATATCGTATATACATATTTTAAGTTTATAGAAGAGAGTATTTAAGTGTAGCGAGAATTTCGATTGCAGCTTTAGCGTTGACTYGAATTCGATTCATCGGGTATATAATACGTATATGTAAATACCTACCTACTTCTTTTTCATCRAGAACYCTYAAATTATTTTCTTAGTTTTTGATGRGTATTATACGAGACRATATAATAGATGATATATGGTTGTTGAGACGTTTTCGCGAAACACACAATACGTGTTTCCAATATTCACGGCATTAAATTTTTCGTTGATAATAATTAATAATTAATAAGTGATTCCAAACCAATGATTTTTCATTTATTAATGCACCCCTTATTATTTGAAATAGTATAGTATATATAAATCAATGTTTCAATACAATTACGTATTATTGTGTTTGCATTTCAATAGTAAAATTATTGTGATCACGCGGCGTTATAAATAGGCTATTCTGGTGCACTTCGGTYGTGGATCCAGTTTTCCAATACTTATGATTGTTTAATTAAATATTTATTTTAAAAAAACAAAGTTGTATTGTTATTTATAAGGTATAACTACGAGATAGATTATTTAATTATATGATGTCTTTTTTATGATTATAACTTAATTATAACTGTTCATTTGTATTTTACTATTTTGTACTATTTTTGTTTTAAAATTTGTGATAATGCATGCATTTATCCCGTAGAATATAATATTTAAGTTGTTAACTTTTCACTTCTATTAACTAGATATYAGAAATGTATGATTATATGCATTAAAATTGCATGTAGAATTGTCGGGTCATAATTTGAAATGAGTTTCATTTTACCATTTGACTTAAAATTATTAGGTATTGGATAAAAAAAAAAAATTGTTTCATTGTTATTATTTTGATTATTATTATATTGTTATTCCATTACATATATTATGCGATTCAATACATTTATTTTTGACTTTGAGTAACTATACGTCCTAGCCATATCAAATATCATGACTATATATTTATGAAATTTATTTGAATTTTTTTACATCAAGTTTGATTGGCGCACATTGACTGGTATGAGTTTACCACGAAKACATCGTCTACTCGGTAGCTCGCCGAAGTCTAAATTCTCGAAAACGTATCATAAATTATAGGATTTTTCAACGCAGTCGGACACTTCGGGGGTGAATTAAGTGCAGAGTTTATCGGTATCTATAAATGCGAAAACGACGACGAGTTTAATCTCAGCTATAGSGTATAAGTTGATATCGCGTCATCCCCGATCCCTCTATATATTATTATGGGTATTATCATTGCAGGCTTAACRTTGCCGTATACATATACAAAACGAACGAATGTTAAAAATATTAAAATAATAATAATAATTTGACGAGACGTATAGTATTCATATTATTATGTCGGCGAGTTATCCTCGGACAATCGTGAAAATATTTACGAATGTTTGTGATTATAATGTCTGCACGGACCGACTACAGATATGCRACGGCCAATGGAATACTAATGAGTAATGACTTATGTAATATATTCCAAGAACATTATATATATATAAATAGTAGCTACAGCATACATATATTTACATAATATATATGTATATAGCTTACACACATACAAAACACATAATATTATATATGTATACTAAGTTGGCAGCGCCGTGCGGCGGCGGCGGCGGCGGCACTCCAGTTCACCTGTTCTCCGCGTCGTTCCCGCCGCGCGACCGTTCCAGCAGCCATCCGAGCCACTCCATGTGAGTAGTCCTTCGGATGCTCTCGTACTGTACGCCGGGTGCGTTTATTTTTTATTATTATTTTAGTGGCTTAATATAAATAAGTTTTTTAGTTTTTAATTTTTTTTTTACTCGTAACATATTGGCGTTTATCATTTTTGTGCAAACCGTTTATGCGTGTGTGTGTGTGTGTGTGTGTGCCCGCGTATGTTTAAAATATCTACGTGATTATTAATTGTTATTATTATTATTAAATTTGACCAACGGAAAAATTACGAATTACCTGATGTGCAGCAGAACACCGGCGTTTTCGTTGCTCAAGTGGTGGATCCAGACGTTGCAGTGATCGAGGTGAGTTGATTGAAAAATAAAAATATTTGCAGTAGGTATCTATTTTTTTTTCGATGTATTATTGACAAAGATAACTTACACGTATACTTAAACGCTTAAAATATAATTATGAAATATCACTGTATGTTTATCTGTGTATATGAGGATATTGGCTGGTAATAGGTACATTTAAATATTATAGAAGCATTACAAGTAATTAGAAAAAAAAATACGTTTGCATAGATTCATCTTTATTTTAAATATTTTCAGATTTATCCGATAAACAAGTCTAGAAAACTATTCTACATTAAATTATGTTCTTTTGATATTAAAAGAATTTATTTTATTTTGTCAAAAACCACACACATGTACCAACAAATCTATCCAACCCAAAAACCTACAGTACTCTTTCCACCCCCAATGGCCTATGTTTCCGCGGGTTAATTAATAAAAAAATAATTTATTTCTGTAGGTATAGTTTTATTTATGTGCAATAATATTCACAACATATAAATTACTATTTAATTTCTTACCTATTAGATATTATATTACATAGGTAACGATAAACGGATAAACTATATTAGATTCGATATTTATAAATTTATAATCTATAATTATTATAAATATTTAAATTACTGTTGTTCATAAGAATTTAATATTATTTTACGAAAATTATAATCTTTTTATTTTTTTTWATTTAAATTGTAAAGTATTGTACCATTATATCACCGATTTCATACATTCTCTGTAAAAGCCGGTTAGCGTTATTCCTAAAATAAAAAAAAATATTCAGTTTTAAAAAAAATAGGATCTTTTAATAATGTATAAACTTATTAGTAATACATTTAGTGAAATTAGTAATCACTAATCACCTTTACTTCCTACTAAGTTTTATTTTGGTTAATTATATTTTTAAAATACGATTATTACTTAGTAAAATATCTCCGCATTAAACGTCGAATTCCTTAAAAATTCAGTACAAGTTTTTAGATGTACAAAATGTAAATTAAGAACGTATAAACGCAAGTGTACAGAATAAATTAAAATAATATCAGTACCCAAAGRTATATTGCCTCTTTATGTTTCAGTTTAATTCATCTTCTTATTATGTGTTATATCCATTTGTATTATATTGTTGTTATTTTAATAATAATTGTGGAATTGTAGTGATATTGAAAACAATAGGTCTATTAAATAAAAATCATTACCAACCTTCGTTATATAGTATGTATATATTTATTGAATATAATTATTATTAAAGTAAGAGATTTTAACTATCTTACAAATCAATACCATGAAATTATTTATGTTAACGAACACAATTTAATATTTTATTTTGGTTTGAAATAAAAAAAAAATTGTTAAGACTTTTTACAGCTTTGCTAAATGTTTGCTTAATTTTTTAAATAATTAAGACATTTCTTTTCAAAAAGTTTAAAAGATGAATTTAAGTCTTTAATATAATTGAAACGGAAGAATATTTTAATGACAATTTATAAAATAGATTTCATTACCTCATAAAGTTTTATAGAATTGTTCGGTTCTTATTATTAGGACATAATTTTTTTTTTTTTATGAATTTCTGTCCCTTATAACTAAAAAAAATTAATGTTTATCAACAATTATTAAATTAATTTCGTATTAAAGGCAATTTCACATTTATACCTAACATCGATTTTTAGATTGTAATAAATAAAATGAGACTTACTTTTTGATTGTACATTGGCAACTATAAATACAATTTTTATATTATTTATTTTTATTTTATCAATCGTTCCAATTTTTAGATAAATAATATAATACCAATGAAAGGCTAATTTTAAATATTTATATTTTTAATTTTTTTTTATTACTATTTTTAAAAACCTTTTGAATTAAAAAATATATTAGTCAGATATTCATATTTAATTTATGTTATAGGTATTCGATTTAAAATAGTAGTTTTGCACTTAAGTGTATCGGTTATCACAAGTTTCTATTAGGTCGGTAATAGAATATAGTCATAAAATATAAATTTAAGAGTATATTTCTTTAAAATTTTAATAGTATTTGTTATTATAATATTATCCAAATACAATTTTTAGTAGCTTAGACTCCTTGAATTTGGTTATTACTTCTTGGCGGGATTATTATGCGAATAGGTATGTTTTTTTAGAATGTATATTAATATCATAACCAGGGAGATATAAGTATAATAGTATAAATAATTAAGATTTCAAGGTTCAAGATTAATACAGAACATATTATGTGTATCTATTATTTCTGCTCATTATCCATTTTAATTGAAGTAAATATAATTAATTATTACTTATTAGCATGTAATTTAAAAATAGCTGTTATATTTTTACTATAATATAATAAAATATATTTTTTATATCATAATACATTAATAACCAAATATTTAGTATAGGTACAGTTAATTAGGTAATTAAACCATAGGCACACGAAAAAAATACAAAAATGGTTAAGTATCTACATATTTTAGACTTTAATGAATTAATTTAAATAGGTGTAATTATACCTACTTTTATAAGACATATATTATATATTATATATAAGCAGTATTATAAATACAGCGCGTATTGTCAAAACTGCATCATTAATAGAATTATATGGATAATATATTTCGAATTTACCTTTAGGTATTGATTTTTATCAAGTAAGATTTACTATAATAGTTGTACGATCTGTTTTATACTCTTCTGAATTAATAATTCTATACCAACTTGACTAATTTAAACTTAAGTTCATAATTTAAGAGTCTCAAGTATAAATTTTTGTAAAAATTTACACAATATAATCAGTTATTACTTTATATTGCCATAGTTTCAGTATATACCTAAATAACTAATATCATAGTAATCGTCAATTTATTAGTATTGCTCAATGACTTTGTTCTCAATTTTATTATTTGTACATTTATTATTTACTAAAATCGGATATTTTCCACACATTTCATATCGACGTCAAGATTCAACTCTTGAAAATAGTTCGTTATCGTTAAAATTTAATGTACACATTTCAGTGCGTACCTAATAATTGTGTAGACGCGCTGCGGCGTTTCTGTACAAAATATAGCGTCCTCTATATACAGAGTGATTCTTTTAAGTGGGTACACTAATTATCTCGAAAAGTATTTACTTTTTTCAAAATATTTTTTTACATGGTTTCAAGTTGTTAATAAACCATCGTTTTTATTAAAAAATTATATTTTTTATCCTTATAATTTTTAAAGGTTTTTTACTTTTTTGAATGAAAACATAGAGTTTTAATTTCATATTCCTAAGCAGAATATTTTTCTAAGTATTTTGATTCATAAAAATCGAATTTAGAACGAGTAGTTTATGAGTTATAAGTATCTAAAGTTTAGACAAGCGGAGTAGTGGACAAACATTTTGCGGGGTAAACCCGTACCACTCCACTCTGCTAATCTAACCTTAAAATACTTATAACTCAAAAACTACTAGCCCTAAATTCGATTTTTATGAATCAAAATACTTAGAAAAATATTCTGCTTTGGAATATGAAATTAAAACTTTATGTTGTCATTCAAAAAAGTAAAAAACTTAAAAATGACAAGGATAAAAAATATTTAAAAATACAATTTTTTAATAAAAACGTTGGTTTTTTAACTACTTGATACCATGTAAAAAATATTTTGAAAAAAGTAAATACTTTTCGAGATAATTAGTGTACCCACTTAAAAGAATCACCCTGTCTAGTGATGATTTACGAATCAGAAAAATAAAATCAACAAATATTTTTTCATCGTCAGTGTAATATTATCATTGTGTTGTGTTTGTGATGTTTGGCGATTTTCGGACACACAGAAACTCGAAATAGTTACAAGGCAAGTAATACGCAAAATTACAATAAATATATTATACTATGGTGTTCGCGTGTTGGCGACGGTGGCCAATTTACAGGCACACGGAGACTTGCAGGAAACGTGACGGACACGCGACGTACGCGCACAGCATACGTATATAATATCCTATGGTGATGGCCACTGTCGTCGCGCGACGCCAAAACTCTGTTCTACGCGCGGCTGCCGGCATTCCCGAATTCCTTGTTTTAATCGCAGTGTACGATTTCAAATGGTATTTGGTGAACGGCAATGCAATAATAATAATAATTCGTTGATTGGCGGTGATCTCTGCAGATACATAAAAGTGCATACTACTAATATGTGATATATATTATGCAGACTATATAAATACTATATAATATGATGGCGAAAACAACTTTTCTGTTTTTATATTTCATTATCGTATTCAATAATTGACAGATTTAAGTCAACGGCATTTCCCCCCGTGTTTACAGAGAGTTTCAAAAGATTTTTTATCTATGAACACGTTTCTTGTTTTTTTTTTTACTTGTCATCTTCCAAGATTTATCCGTTTGTAGGTAGATATATAGGTAGATATATAATATATTATTTCAATATCGCACACCATACCTAATGTTATCGATCGTGATTGACATAATATTGTACTCTAAAATAAACCATTTATCAAAACATTTTCATCGTTTAGTTTTAATTATCGTTCTTTAGTTTCGTGTTATAATAAATATTTGTAGTCAAATATATTCTAAAATTCTAAAAATGTATAACTTAAGGCCAGAATTCGCCAGATCCGTATGTTCCGAAGTAATTCGTAAGAGGTTATAAGGGAAAGCGGTCCGATCCAAATACTGTGTTGGTATTATTTTTATCTATATGCTTAAACATATATTAATGATTTGTCTACTTGTCTATCAACATTTATATTTAATAAGTAATAAAATTAAAATTATTAAATAGATACAAATAAGGGATTTCTACTTTAAAAAAATAATATTTTTTTATGCGTGTGTGGGTACGCGTAAAGTACTTGTACATGTCATAAATATGTAATATAAATAATAATTACATGACACGAAATGTTTTACTTTTAATTAAGTTGTACTTACTTTGAGTCTCATTGACACAGCTTTCCGAAAAATATTGGTGTATAACATTATGAATCAATAATCACAAT